GCAAATTATCATTTGTTGAACTGTACTTCTCAATTGTGTTATGGTGTAGCATTTGTTTACCTTCTCGAAAGACAACCTTTATTGCCTCCACCCCTAACAATTTTTGATTCAAAATTCTAATGTTAAAAATCAAATGTGGGGGGAAAGGGCATTTATTGAAACCTTAAAATTTGTACCTCCATAATATGCCAAAATAAAAAATATAAATAAAATAAAATGTGGTTTATTCAGATATATTCAGTTTCTGGCTAATGAAAAAGCATATCCTATAAGAATTTAAATATGCACAATGCACTACAACTGCAAACTGTATACCCACGAAGCCATCTCTTCCCTTCCCCACTCTCCCCACTCTCACCAACATATCTTTCAAAGTGAAATGTCTCAATTAGTGGAATGCCAGTCAATAAAGCTAAAGAATTATTTCTTAAAAGAGTAAAATTCTCATTTTTCTCTAAACTATCTCTTTAATGAAAACCTCTTCATTTCCTCGGGCAACACTTTATCTACGATGGTTTGGCTAGCTGAATAAAAAATACCTGTTAAAGAAAGATGGTTCCCATCAAAGCTGCTGAAATCTGATTTCATTTCAGATTCTAGAACTAATGCTGTTTTTGTTTAAATAGATTTGGTCTGTCAATTTCCAGACCCGCTGCGCCATCAGCCTGTATGGACTGCTGTGGTCAACACGGGGGTTGTAGCAGCAAATTTTATTATGGACTGGTAATTGAATTGAACAGGTTTACATTTGAATAGATTTACTGCATCATGATCTCTGACATACTGCATGGGACTGAATCCTCTCCATCCATAAAGTTACATTAAGACGGTATCATTCTCTCCAGGCTCAGAAAGCAAGTCTTGAGCCAAGGAGACGGCCCACATAATTGTGCATTTATATGCAGGGTGTAATGCAATATTTTACTGCATTTTTTTTAAGTATACAAGAAAAGAATATTCCATATTTACCCAACCATCCCATCCTTTCTATTTTGGGGATGTGCTTTAGAAATGATATTTTGCCATCAAAGTGGGCATTAGGAAGTAAAGGAAATAAATTATTATTTGAGTATCATCACAACACATTCCCTTGAAAACAGATCCTCAAAATGATAACAGCAACTGAAGAAGTGTGAATTATAGATAAGCACCTTCCCATTTGCTATCACCAACAATGTTTAATTAAACACAGTTCACACCTCTTCATTCACTCTTCACCCTTCAGGACTGCTCTTGCTAGAAACCACAATGGAAAAATTATTCAAGGAAAAAGTTTTTCTTCTTCCTCCTTAAACCTGGAAGGGCAAACAGTTGAACAAATTATAGTAGTAATAAAAATCAAACTAATGAAAAAATTATTGTTGTATCTCCATGTTCTTTAGTTTGAAAATAAATCTTAATATAGGACAATACAAAGTGTTCATTAGAATATTTTTAAAAATTGATTTGCTTTTTGAAAATAACGATTCCTCAATTTTCCAGGTTTAAAACCACTCTTTATTGAGCCTTTTAAATGAGAGCATAAGTTGAGTTTTGAGTCTGTACAGCCCAATTAATGGCATATTAAATATAATTAAGCCCTCAAATTGCTGTCAACCCCTTATCATTACACTCTGAAATATGTTTTGTTTGTTACTCTGCTATAGAGTTTAAGGCAATGACTAAGAAAAAGTATTCCACCTCTTAAAGTAAGCTACCACCATCAACCTTAACTAGAAAAATCTTTTTGTCTTGTGGTTGGGGTGGTGGTTGTTGGTTTTTATTATATGTTTTCCGCTAAGCAAAATTATTCTTTGGCAACATCATATATGTTTTCTCTAGCAAGAACAATCATATCTTTATTTATCATTGTTGTAGCATCAGAGCCTAGAACAGTGCCTGGCCCATGGAGACTTTAATAAATATTTAGTCAATGGTTATAAATGTAAAACAGGTTAACTATGAAAATCCTAACAGTTCCAAAGCTGTATGGTAAAAAGTACCCCATCCTCATCTTTATTCACCAGTGTGACACTGTCACCAATCTTTAGGTATCCTTTCTTCCACTTCTCCATGCATGTATCATCAGTGTGTATCTACTTTCTACCATTCTTTCTTCTTTCCATCTCTGTGTGTGCATATATGTACACCCACACTATTAATGTATATTCAATTTATATACAGTATATATGTATATAAATTGACTCATACTGCTAGAGAAACTTGCTTTTTTTTTTTTTTTTGAGACAGAGTCTTGCTTTGTTGCCCAGGCTAGAGTGAGTGCCGTGGCATCAGCCTAGCTCACAGCAACCTCCAACTCCTGGCTCAAGCAATCCTTCTGCCTCAGCCTCCGAGTAGCTGGACTACAGGCATGCGCCACCATGCCGGCTAATTTTTTATATATATTAGTTGGCCATTAATTTCTTTCTACTTATAGTGGAGAGGAGGTCTCACTCTTGCTGGAGGCTGGTTCAAACTCCTGACCTTGAGCAATCCACCTGCCTCAGCATCCCAGAGGCTAGGATTACAGGCGTGAGCCACTGTGCCTGGCCGAAACTTGCTTTTATATACATTTTTATTTGGCATGTTCTTCGGTCATCTTTTCATAAAGCTTTATTATATGCTTTTTTATTTATAGCTCCTTCTCAAGAGCAAAGACTAGGAGAAGAATTTGAGAGGGTCTTCTTTGTTCCCAATGGACAAGTAAAAGACACAGAAATACAGCATGAATTCCATGGATCTGAATATAATCTGATCCTCTCATCTTCTTGTAACATTTTGTTCATAGCAAAAATCCTGGAATACGAATGAGGAAAGGCCGGGCGCGGTGGCTCACGCCTGTAATCCTAGCACTCTGGGAGGCGAGGCAGGCGGATTGCTCAAGGTCAGGAGTTCAAAACCAGCCCTGAGCAAGAGCGAGACCCGTCTCTACTATAAATAGAAAGAAATTAATTGGCCAACTAATATATATAGAAAAAATTAGCCGGCATGGTGGCGCATGCCTGTAGTCCAGTACTCGGGGGCTGAGGCAGAAGGATGCTTGAGCCAGGAGTTTGAGGTTGCTGTGAGCTAGGCTGACGCCACGGCACTCACTCTAGCCTGGGCAACAAGTGAGACTCTGTCTCAAAAAAAAAAAAAAAAAAAAAAAAGAATGAGGAAAATGATGAGACCCGGTAATGCCACACACCCATTGAAACCGTGGCTCATTCTTGGCGAATTAGACTTAGAAGTTAAAAAATAGGATATCTGCAGCAGTGACAACAAAATATACAAACTAACAGGGCTAGCCTCAGGAGCAAAGCATATTTCTATGATGCGACAAATGCTACACATTTAAATATTTTAATCTAATTTTCTACCTAATTTTGATAACCGCCTTTTTGTTACTTTATAAAACAGTATTTATTTTAAACTCTGATGTATTTTCTGAGAAGGAAACAAAAATCTAAATATACTATGTAAAATGCACATTTGCAAAAATACACATGTACAGAGATACATGCATTTCTTAGTTTAAAAAAACTAAAACCAAAGGAAAGAACAATTTTTCTATATCTCCAAGCTGAAATGTTAGTTTCACTAGAAATGCTGAAATATACAAATGTTTTAGGACTTTTGACATGTGTGGAATAGTTGAGTGACACCTAGAGTGGATGGGTTCAGTTCCCTGGCTCCACCAGTTACTAACTGGGTGAGCTTAAGCAATTTGTTTAGCACAGAACACACGTTCATTGTTATTATTTTATGGTTGTTGTTATCCCCCTACTGAAAGCAAATGGAAAGCAATTTTAATATCATATTGCAGACTCTTTATAATAGAAAATACGTCTGAAAGATAAGGTCGGAAAAGAATAAAGAGTGCTTTAATTTTAAAAAATTAATTAAAAAAAAACACACCAAACTAAAACTCCCTGTGAACCAAGTAATGAGAAGAAAAACAAAAAGTCAATGATAGTAGCCTCTTCGTTTGTCTTCATCCTTTACCTCCTGCAAATTGTAAAGATAAAAAGACCAGAACTGTCAAGCATACCTGATAGATTTAGCTGCACATCAGATGTGTCCTGTCTTGTCCCTTCCTGTCAACGTGAAGCAGTTAGCCACAAGGTATCAGAAAGTTCAGGTGTAAGGAAGAAGTTATTGTGCCATCAGATTCAGGGTACTTACTGTTACCCTATTGTTTTCTGGTGTAATTCTGTGTAATTCTGGTGTAATTCACGTGCACAGAGGGAAGTAAAACTCAGTGGAAATCAACCAGGGGGAGAAGAGAGGCAAAAATCTACCTAATGTCTACTATGAACACTATCTGGGGTGATGGACACACCTATAGCCAGGGCTTAAGCGTTACAAAAGCGATTCGTGTAACCTAAAACATGTATGCCCCCTAAATATTTTAAAATAAGAACTAAAATAAAAATAAAATTTTGAAAGGGCAGCCACTAAGAATGAAGGACTGATAGACACCACAACATGGATGGACCTTAAAAACATTATGCTGAGAAGGCAAGCACACAAGGGCACGTATTTATATGATTCGATTTATATAAAATATTCACAATAGGCAATCTATAGAGACAGAAAGTAGATTAGTGGTTGCGAGGGGTTGGAGGAGAGGGTTGTGGGCAGCGACTGCTAATGGGTATGAAGTTTCTTTTGGGGGTGATGAGAATGTTCTAAAATTAGATAGGAGTGATGGTTCCACCCTTGTGTGCATGCTGAAAAACACTGAACTGTACACTTAAAATGATGCATTTTATGGTATGTGAATTACATTGCAATGAAGGTGTCCTTACACAGTAACAAAAATTCTGTGAGAGGCGGCTCCAATGAACATTTTGGTCCATTGGTAGGCTGATATGGAGAACTCAAAATTGAATTAAGCAATAATCAAGTGATGACGTTCATAAAGTGCTGAGACTGTATTTTAAAGATAAATAAATAATAAAACAAAACAGGTGTCATCCCTGGCCCCACTCCCCTCCACACCAAACCTAAAGCACAGGGACCCTAGCAAAGCACCTTACCTTCTTTCAGCATGCCCACTTTTAAACACTTCATGAAGCGGCAGGCTTGGCAGGATTTGCGTCTACGCTTTGTGATTTCACATTCGTTCGTGGCGGGGCAGCTATATTCTATATTGCCTAAAACACAGAGTTGGAAGAAAAGAAGCAGTCAGCTTTGCAAAACTCAGGAAATACTAGCATCCCAAAGGCAATGTCAACTCTGCTTATACTTACCGCCACCCCCCCCCAAAAAAACAAAAGTAACAGGAGATTCATGAGGAATGTCAGAAAAGTCATCAAGCTGGATCACTGTATCTGTGATCACTGATCTGCTGTAATCACTAAACACACACTTGAGCAAGGAGACATACGGCGAAGCTCTTCAGAAGATTAAGTTTAAAATTAGCCTTTAAAACATCATGCTTGGTCCACTCATGCAAAGTAAGTTTTCCAGAATGTTAGGTTGCAAAAGAAATTTCAAAGTAGATTATGTTCATCAAAACACAAACACCAAAACCGGATTCTTGAATTGTCAATTCTGGACTTCTTTGGGTTGCTAATGCTTTCATACGTTGGGCCTATTGTCTTTCTAACTCTGAACATCATAAACCTCACTGTGAAAAATGACCGGCAGGCTAATTTTGGACTTTATGGTGATCTCTTAGAAAGGTAGGGTCAGAAATTACACAGATGTTGCGGCAACACTTACCAAAACCTTGTAACACAGTTCTATGTTTAGGAAATGCTGCTGCTGCTGCTGCTGAAGACAGCCATTATCATCATCATCATCATCATCATCATCATCATCATCATCACCGTCGTGTTTGTTATATTATTTACATAATTAATTTCAAACACTCAAGCTCCATGATGATGTTATAAAAAAGAATTAACTACTATAAAATTATATATATTTAATATTAGACTTTGCATGATTTGTGGTAGTATTACATATTTAAAATATGTAAGTATGTAACGAGAAGAAGATCCAAACTTGAAACTTTTTCAATTAGTGCCAATGGCAGTGTGTGCAATGTGCTCTGAGGCTCCCTACTGCTTTGTAAAGAAGCTGCCTTTAAAATAAAGCCTCTCTCCCCTATCAGCTCTGTCACATAGTGCTTGAAGGTCTTTCGTTACTTCCTAACCCTTTCCCCTTGTGATTAAGTGCATTAGTATCTTAATGAAAATGCATTCTGTTTATTGCCCTCTTGGGAAGGGGGGAGGTCATCACACCAAATGCATAAATTGTCATCAGAGACAGTCCGAGCATAATTGCAATTTTGCTGCTCTGTATTTGCAATACTCAGGTCCGTCCAAGTCCCCTGAAACATGTGCAGATTCTAGTAATTAGCATACAGTCTGCCTGGGACCACAGCATTGATGAAATATTTCAGAGTTAATCACACTTTGTAAACACTGATTTATATTGACTACCTTTCTCCAGACTGATGTCTCCTCATTAAATATCACATTAGTGGATTGCAGGATTGTACAAAGACTCAACTACTCAGCAACTGCTAATTCAACAGGAAGTAATGCCTAACCACTTATAACTACTGAAAATTGGTTAAGTATGCATGACTTGAAAACATAAGTCTGTGCATTATAACTTGAGATAAGCCTATCAGAATTGTTTGACTAAATTAGCATTCTAATTCAGGGCATTTATAATAATAAAAGCAACTACTTTTTAGCATGAGGTTAAATAATAAAAGTAATATTAATTACACCAGCAGAAGCATATACCATCACCTTCCTAAGAGATATCACTGATGCTATACTCAGAGAAAATCAAGGATCAGTGAAAGGAACCAGACTGGCTGGGTCATGGCCGAGAATAAAAGGATTTAGAATCTGAACTTCAGATGAACCACTCTTCACTGCAGAGTTTCTTTAACCATTTCTAGAAAATTTATTTTTCATCAAAAGAGTGTTGCTAGTAATTTTCTAAGGGTTAATTAGTATTCCACTACCAGATCCTTCCACTCCATACTGTTCTCCCTATGCTTATTTAAAAAGAAAGCCAGATCTTTGCTCTATCAGGAAAGACTGAACAATGACTAAGGTTAGAATGATCAGATAGAAAAAAGAAAATGTGTGCCAAATATCCTTTCTTCCCTTTTTTTGTGTCTGAAAAGTCAGTCTGAATATTTGTTTACTTTCCCATATTAAGGCATAAGTACTAGTCCCATACCTTTACCCCAATGCTGGAAACTTCTACCAGGATGACCCAGCACCACAAATACACGTTACCATCTTTCTTTTCAAACTTGTTCTACTTCCTCTTTGAAAACTGTATCCCCATCCTTCATCTCAACTTCCTTCTGACAGAAGCATACAGCGGGCATGAGTGAGCCCACACTTGGACTAGTTAGTTAGCTCCTCTCTGGATGTTTTGCCTCCACTCTGAGCTACTTTAATCCATGCTGCATTCCACGATCGTATTCCTCTCCCTGTGATTGCTTTGATCCTGTCACTACCCTAATTTAAAAATAAAAAATAAATAATCAATAGATTGTTATGCCCTCCTGAACCAAATAAAATATTAGACTAGCAAAGTCTTCTCCCAATCTAATTCTCATCTACTTTTCCAGCAATATCACAATTCTTGCCTTACGTGAACTTTCTGATGCAGCCAAATTGATTTATTCATTTTTGTGAAGTGTCCTTCAGACTTTCCTCTGAGAATGGTCTATCTTTGCCACTCTTTTCCTCTTAAAATTATTTCCAAGGCCCCATGTTCAACTCCAATTCCATTCAAATCTCTCATGAAAACTTTTCAGACTATTCTACTGCAGAAAATGATTCCTTGGTTCTCCAAGGTACTCTCAGACAGGCCATATTTTGTTATACTTTTTTTGCATGCATACTACCCATTAGATGGTAAGATACTGGAGGACAAAGGCCGTTTCTTATGCAGTATAAAAATTGTGGCAGAGCACAATTGCTCATGCCTGGGAGCACTCTGGGAGGCTGAGGCAGGAGGATCAACTGAGGTCAGGAGTTTGAGGTTGCAGTGAGCTATGATCATGCCAGTGCACTCAGGCAGGGTGATAGAGCAAGACTCTATCTCAATTAAAAGAAAAAGTGCACCAAAATGCATAAAAATATACTTATAACAATTTTGTTATCACAAGGAATTATTATGAATATTATTCATGATGCTGTAATGTAGCAATGTCACATGATCAAGTGAGCTGGATGTCCCATTAAGAAGCAATATTAAGAATACTAGGAAAACCATTCCACAAATAATCAAAAAGGTAGAAGAAAATTTAGTTAATTTTCCAAAACCTTGAAAAGTAGCTTTGACAAAAGCAGAAATGTGTGGGGAAATGGGAGAGATAATACAAAAGAATACAAAAACTTCCAGGGAGTAAAGTGTGAAAAGAAAAAAAAAAATCTGTAAGAGGCTTTAAAGGAAATAAAAGTACATCCTGATATGAATGGGATAAGAAAATAAAAATAACATATGAAAATAGATGGTGCTGAAAGAGTTATATGATTTCATCTTATTATAATACTTATCAATATTAGAAGTATATTAAGCCCTCAAATTGACTGTCAAACCCTGCTATCATTACACTCTGGAAATATGTCGTTGGTTTCGTTCTTCTGCTGATTAGAGTTTAAGGCAATGACTAAGAAAAAGTAGTCCACCTCTTAAAAGTAACTACCCACCAGCAACCTTAACTTTAGAAAGAAATTTTTTTCTGGTGGGTTGTTGGGGTGGTGGTTGTTGGTGTCTATTTATCAGTGTTTTCCGCTAGCAAAATTTTCTTTTCGGGCAACATCAGTATATGTTTTCTCTAGCAAAGAACAATCATATCTGTTGTATTGGTAGTCATTGTGTAGCACAGAGCCTTGAGAACAGTGCCTGGGCCCATTTGGGAGGGACTTAATAAACTATTAGGTCAATGGATTGATTAAATGTAAAGCAGGTGAGATATGAAAGAACTCCTAACAGTGCCAAAGGCTGGTCATTTTCGTAAAGAAACCCCGATCCTTCATCCTTATTCAGACCCAGGTGTGACACTGTCACCACATCTTTTAGTACTCCGCTTTCTCCTCCAGCGTGCTCATGCATGTATCAGTCAGTTGTATCTACGTTTCTGTACCACGTTCTTGTCTCTTCCGCATGTCTCTGTGTGATGCATATATGGTTTACACCACACTATTCAACATGTACCCGGTGCGCGCCCGTCGCGCCGTCTAATCAATTAGTAACCATATATATGTTAATTTTAATTGTTGATTTCTTTGTCTGCTATGATTTTCTTTGAGGACTTGAGTCTGGTTGTTTCCTTTGTTTGGTTCATTGTTGTTTTTGTGCCGTTTGTTCCTTTTAGCTTGTTTTTGTGTCTTTTGTTATTCAGCATTCTCATTACTTTTGTGTTCTCCCAATTGTGTCCTCTTTTTTCTCTCATGTGTTTTTTTGTAGTAGCTGGGGGACTACGAGGCATGCCCGCACATGCCTGGCTACTTCTTTCTATATAGTATATTGGGTGGCCAAGATTAATTCTCTACGCTTATAGCTGGAGGAGTGAGGGTCGTCAGCTCTGCTGAGGCTGGTGTTCAAACTCCTTGACCGTTGGAGCAATCCACCTGGCCTCAGCATCCCAGAGTGCTAGGCATGTACAGGCGTGAGCCACTGGCGCTGGCCGAAACTTGCTGTGTAATATACATGTTGTTTAGTTTGGGCGCAGCTTGATCGTTTTCATCTTTATAAAGCTGTCTTTATATGGTTCGTGTTGATTTTAGTAGCGTCCTTCTAAGGAGCAAGAGACTGAGGAAGAATTTGCGTGAGAGGTCTTCTTTGTTCCCGAATGGAAACGTGAAAAGACACAGAATACAGCATGAATTCCAATGTTACTGGAATATAATCTGGATCCTCTCTCTCTGTTGTAAACATTTTGTTGCATAGCATTTCTGGTTTACTATATGTAGGATATTATAGGTTGTGTTCCGTGTCGTGTATCTATTCTTGCTGTGTGTTGGTCCTGTTTTGTCATTGATAGTGTGTCTGTATATTCCCATTCTGTATGTCTGATGAATATTTGCGTCGTTGTTATGTTGTAATTAATTGGCCAATCTATTTTTTTTTTATATAGAAAAAATTTAGCCGGATTGTGGCCATC